AAAAGTTATATATGAACTAGCCTAAAATAAGCTATATAATAAGCTTAAATATATTATTATATATACCTGGCCTAAAAACTAGTTCCTGTATAACTTTGACCATACCATCAACAAATTTTGACCTTGCTGCTTTTTTGAAAACTTGTCATTCCATGATTATCCCTTTAGTTTTAAAGGCACCACACATTAGAAAATGAAAACAGAGCTTTTCTGAGGTGTTTACTCTTTCTGGTTAGGTTACATGTTTATGGATGGACATATTCCCACTCCCAACAGGAGGACAGGTTTGGCAGTTTCCTTTAACAGCAGCCTTTAAGAGCTGAAATATTTTGAAATATCAAAACTTGCATTTAGAAACTTTCCAGGGATTACCTGGTGTGGTGGTGTTTTTTTGTTTTTTTTTTTTTATTTTTCAGTGAAAAGAGAATTGTGCTTGATGGTTATTTAACTTTTTGGTGTTCTCTAGCATTTTCTTATCTTTAAATAATAACCAGTTAGTTTGAAACCAGAATGCTGTTGATTGTGCATTCCCATTTCTGGGAGCAACCTGGCTTGAATGGCTGAAAAAGGGGTTGTCTAAAGTCTGTAGTTTTCCTTGAAGCAGAAAGTAAAAGAAGAGAAAAGAATTAAAAGGCAGAGGCACAAGAGTAACTATGAAATCTGGGACTTTTGGGGAACATTTTTACTTCCCCTTCCTCTCCCTTCCCATTACAGCAGTTCAGTTCTTGAATTCTATTTTGTAATAAATTTAGAATTTTTTTAAAATCACACATCAGATTATTCTTTATTTGTGGTTAAGGTAGTAAAAATGCCTTTCCAGTACCTGTGAGAAAAGAGCTATTCCAGTCAGTGCATTAACAATCCTTGGATGTAAAACATTTGCCCCATTACCAATTATTTCTGTGCAAATCATTAGAATTTCTGGACTACCATGGGATGATAATTGCTAAGAACTTTTGAAAAAAAATGTCGATAGTTTAAAAAATGACTGGGAATGAATGGAATATGTTGGAATAATCTGATATAATCTTGAATAATCTTGAACCTCTAAACTTGTTTACTTATATTCAGCTAGATAGTGTCCTAGAGGCCATCTGAAATGGTTTTGCCTGTTTTGTATGCTAAAATGCAAAATATTGATACATAAGTATTCCAGTCTCATTTGATTGTGTGTAATATTGAAGGGGGAGCAAGACACCAGTGGAACATCCACTGTGAAAAATGAAATTCAAGACTTGGAGAGCAGCTGTAAAAATATTTCTAAGGAGGCACATATTGGGGAGAAAATGGACTGTTCTAATAGAACATTAACATTAAAATTTAGCTTTTGCTGTCCTGGCCTTTCTAAATCATATGGCTAGGGTGAGCGTGAGTAAGGGGTGGCAAATGGGAAGAACATGTCACTGATAAAGGTCTTGAGGCAAAAAGAAAGCAAGGAAATTCTTACAATTATTTCAGGCACAGCAATTATGAACGGGCCAATTTATTGTTTACAATGTGCTTTTTTAAATATTGAAATATTTTCCCTTTTCCTGCAATTGTTATAATTTCTGAAAAAGATGCCGTAGTATTTAGTAGCAATAATGATAAGAACATGTGAATTTGGAACTAATGGAAAAAAAAATTACTTTCCTCCCAAAAAAATAAAATGTTGACTGTAAATATTATTCAAAGTGTTCTACTGCAAATATTATTCAAAGTGTTCTGAACAAAAGCAAGTGTGGTAAATGAGTAGCTTGTCTTGCTTTGAATAGTAGGCTGTTAAAATCATAAATATTTACATTTCAATAGAAGCACTAGGGTACCTCAATGTCTTTAGAACTAATTGTCTGTAACTGGAAATGCTATTTTAAAGTAGCCTTTATAGCTATTATTTTTTCTGCTGTGAAATAGCACAGAAGGTGGGGAAGGTTACAGATTAAAAGTAAATTGCAGGAGACAGGTGAGACTAGATATTGCCACCATTGCATTGAGTGGTGTTTTATGCTAAATTAGTTTAAATAGGACTGTCTTGGGACTCTCATCTCAATGAGATTTAGCCTGAAATAGGAGTTGCACTATGCCTACAGTGGTCACTAATTTAATTTTTTTCCTTTGTGGTTTATCTTGATGTGGGCTTTTTTCCCCATGTTCTTTGACATCATGAATTTTATGCCTGTGTTCAGAGAATTTAGAGACTCTGACCACCTCTTGCTGCAGCGGTGTGAAAACATAAATTACACCCCCTTGGGTTTTTTGGGGTTGCTGTACTCTTAGGAACATTATTTATAAAGCAAAGCTAAGGGAGGATTAACTCCTCCTTTTAGCACAAAGCAATATTGTTTCCACTCAACCTCATGCTATGAGGACAAGGTTTAATCCCAATTTCTGACACATTTAATACTCCACACAGGAGACTGGAACTCTTATCTACATTAGCAGTGTAATTAGCAGTCCTGTCACACCAGCGGTGTAAATTATAAAAAGTTGCATTTTTGTATTTTAACAAATGAGATAAGGCTTACCTGAAAAAGATGAAATTGATGATAGTATATGGGAATGGAGTGTATAAATTCTGTTAGGGATTCCAGAAAGTCTGTTAGCCTTTAATCAGGATAGCAAAATCATCTTGATATCCTTATCTGTTCTATGTAGGAAAAAGAAGTCAATAACAAAAATTTGTCTTTTCTTGGGAAGTCTCAGTTTATTTACTATTTTAATTTCTGTCTTCTCTGGATTTACAGGGTTTTTTTCCACTGTAAATTCTAATATTCTAGGATTTTTCAGTGTAATTCTAATATTTCAGTGTAAATTCTAATATTATAATATTTACATCAGAGCATGTAAAAAGCAAACAAAAAAAAAAAAAAGGCAACCAACAGGAAAATGATCCCAAAAATCCTTTTTACTTCATGGTTTGAATTTCTTTAGCAGACACACCCTTTTCCCAATGTGCCATGTTGATGAGGTGCTGATATGCTGTGAATTGGCACAGGTTTTCCTTTTGAGTAAAATAAATAAATGTTACATTTTAGTATCTTCAAAGTGTTAGTCTTTTTAAAGGGGTTTTCAGGAAATAATCTTGTTACTCCAAGGTCCCAGAGCAGTATTTCCATATGGATTGATTTTCCAGGCAACTGAGTCTTTACTCTGAGTGCAGTTGTTCTATTTTGTTATAATATCTGTAGTAGTTCTGAAATATTGGCATATAATGGACTGTTTTCTGGATTGAGGCTCAAATTTAATCAGGTTATATACAAACATTCCACTGAATTTTTTATCTGTTTTTCCTCTCACACTGCTCTCCTCAGCTATAAAGGAATATTACATTTACTGTGTACAAATTAATAGCTGCTTCAAATTCTGGTCACATTGGGGAGCAAGTGAATTCTATCTAAAATTGAGGAAAAGTAATTGACTTCCAAAAGGTAAGTGTAGTTCAGCATTGTTGTAAAGCCAGTGAGAGCCTATTCTATGCATTTTTATGCTTTGATAAATTTGTAATGATTGGTACAAGAAATCGATTGAAATCATATTAAATACTTTTTTCTGGCAGGATTATTACAATTTTAGAAGAACCCAGTGAACACACACCTCATTTTGAGCAACAGATGTCTTTAATAACTGTAGGAATAAAGTAAAAATGGAGACAGCTCACCCTAAATACATAATTTTTAATGATGCTTGGCCAAGTGCTACATCATGGAAAGATGTTTGTGTTTCTGTTGCAGCTTCCATCTCCACAGCTTTGGCAGAAGCCAGGCAGAATGTGGTTTGTGCTGGTAAATTCTGCAAAAGCCTAATGAATTACAGACCCTGCTTAAGTGTCACTAAATTTGTCTAATAATTTCTATGATGTACAGTCCCTGTGCTGATCTTCTCTGCAGAGAAAGGATCCAGTGAGTGGCACAGCCCATTTCCGCCAAGGTGTGTGATTTGTTCATTTCCCCCTTGCTGTCTTTAATCAGGCACAGAAAAACCTGGAACATGTGTTAGACAGTGGAATTAACCCTGTACTTCTGAGACAGAAAGGTTCTTAATAATAATGAAAGCCCTGGTAGGATATGACCTAGCTTTCACTGAATCTTAGTTTTATATAGAAATTAATTAATTACTTTGGTGAGCTTTCCTTCAAGATTGTAAATGATTACTTCCAAATCTTATGTTTCTGAAGACACCAAAAGATAAAGTAATAAAATTATAAAGATATTCTTTTTGGAACCAGTCCATCCCATTAGCCTTAGCAACTTCTTTTGCATTGTTTATATCAAGCAGATATTACTAATTGTACAGCATCTTAAAAGGATTTCCTCTAGTCTAACGTTTGTCTTAATTTTAGGACAAATTTTCCGTAGTGTACAGCTCCACACTGTGACACCTCACTATGGCTTTTGGGAGAGTGAATTTCTTAATGCTGCCTGATACTCCACCCACTTGGACCTGATCCTCTCATGAATAAAAGAGGAGAAAGATAGGCCTACTACCTTCTCATTGTAGAGGATTTGGAACCTTTTTAAAATTGCAATTATTGCCTGCTTCTGAGGGTGTAGGAGTGTCTTGAATGACCTAACACATCTTTAAAAAAAGAAAAAAATAGTCCTGACTTTATAAAATACTTCCAGCTAAGAACTGCCTGTTTACTTTTTCTTGTCCTGGAATTAGGGGCAATAATACTCACAAAAGACTCTGCAATGAGTGTATGCCATAAGTTTTTGGTTTTTTTTAATAGACTTTGCTATGTAATTTGCTAAACAGGCTATTATTTTCAAGAACCATTTTGCTTTTTTTCTAAGGAAGAAGCACCTGTAAGCTCTCCTCACCCCCGTGCTTGTGAATGGCGTCTGCAAACAGAGTTTTAGGGGTTTCCTTTTGAATTGTAACCAAACCAGTGCTTGCGATTTGAAATACTGGGCCTCAGAGCAAAATAACTTCAGGCTGGTGAAAAGGTTTTTTAAACTTCGAGGCTGAAATCCGGTGTATCCTGGAGGTGGCAGCAAAGTACACGCAAGGGAAGGAGGGAGGCCAGGAATGCAGAAAGGAGTGAGAGATGAATGCTGCTCTGCCGTGCTGCTGACGGCTTTGAGAAACTGCATCAGTCTCTGCTAGCTTCAAATGACAGAGCAGGTAAATAGAGGCTTGATGTATTTATCTATTATTGTTTGAAATCATCTTGGGTTTGCTCCAAGTGCCCTGAATTCCCACTTCAGCACATCCATTTTTAGCAGAAGATGGAAGTTTGCATATTTTCCTCTTTCTTTTCCAGTATCATTTCAAGCAACTAAGACAAAAAGCCCTTTTGATTAAAATTTTTCACTTCTGCCTGCCAATCTGGCACCGTTCAAAAACCTATATTCACTAGTCTGCCTGCAGTTTTTTTTTTTTTTTAAGAGCTTTCCTTAATCTGGAAATATAAGTATTTCAATCCCCCTTGGTTTTTTTATGCCTTCAGCATTCATAATGGTGTGATTAACTGGCAAGGTGATTCATACCCTAATAATGGATTGCAAAGGACATCATATTAGACATCCTGTGAGGCCTCTTTACTCCGAAGCATACACACAAAAACACCCCAGAGACATGAGTTATGGCTGCTGCAGCTGGAATAACAAGAGCTGGGAGTGCTGGGCAGAAACATTATTAAAATGAAAAGCAGAAAACCCGTGGCTGCCAAATTGCAGCTGTTGGTTTCAATGTCCAACTTGTTTGTCAAAAATACTGGTTTGTGGAATTGATAAAAGCCATGGCCAGAATGTTCTACAGGGGAGGCAGCCCAAAGCAGGGAAGTTCATTTTAGACCTGTCTAAATGTTTAGGGGCTTTTTTTTGGTAAAGAAAATGGTGTAACTTTTTGCAAATGCACAACTCAGGGTTTGGTTTGTTGTTGTTTAGTTTTGTTTTGGTTTTTGGGTTTGGTTTTTTTGGGGGGGGGGGGGTTTAAAAAAAAGGCCTGGCAGTATGGAGCCATTTATTCATTTTATTCATAGACACAATATAGGCAGAGATGGAGCAACTTCTCAGTTCCCACTTCACCTGTGTGTCTAAATTCCAGCTTGTGTGAAAGGCTTCAGGGGATCTGCAGATGTCACGTTCAGGAGAAATTTGATGTTTGTTCTTTGGGAAGCTATAAGCACACTAAAACTTAATACTAAGGGAAAGAGAGATCTGCCTAAAAAGAAAAAAAAATAAAAGCTTTGTGGTCTTGCTTCCCTCCTTTCATTTAGTGATGGGAATGCTGGAATAACATAATAATAACTTGACGGGATCAGAGCCAGCACAGGTGTGTGTGACAGAGAAAGGGCTGTCCCCAACAACTGTGACCTCTGTGCTGGAGCTTCCATGAAAATCAATAAGCAGAGCCTATTCCCTGCACTGTAGGGGTTCTGTGGTCTTTCCCAATGTCTATTTTAGGTCATTGGAGAATGTCCTAAAGGAATACCTTTAGATGTTCCCAGGAATTCAAAGGTACTCCTAACTCTTGTTTGAAGAGGAAGGAAGCAGAAAGCCTGGCAGCTTTCTATGCTTAGTAGGAATGGGAAATGGAAAAGCTGAGCAGTTGTGGAGGTTTTCACCAGGCAGTGCTTCTTTCCTGCTGAGTTAAAGTGCAGCAAAGTTGGATTTAATCTCTGCTCTGTGTTCCTGCCCAGTGTGTGTGGCAGCAGCAATGACAGTGTGGTTCTAGACTGTCCCTTTGGTGGCAGATGTGACTGCAGTAGCTTCTCTCTGCTACTCTTTCCTCATTAACAGCTTCTTGCGCTGTTTCCTATTTTATCCACCCACTGTTTCATCCAAAAATGGCTTTTTGTGAAACAGAGGAATCACAAACCTTGTTAACACTGTTTTTACATATAATGGAATAATAATAAAATTACTACCATAATATAACATGTGAAAACATTGTAGCTAGTGTGCATGAGCAGAAGGAAATCCTTGTATTTTAAAATACCAAGGTAAAACCATTAGAAAATTATTCTAGATCTCCTCAGAAGATTTAAATTTTTATTGTTTAGGTGATGCCATGGGTGGAGTGGTAGCTTCAGATAAGGTTTATTAAAGAATCCTTCCTGCTGCTGAGTCATGAGGTGCTGAGAAGTCTTCCTTGCTTGAGGGGTTTAAGATTGCCTAAAGTTTAAGTTTTCAGCTTTGTCCCTAAAGTTTTAGTGATGGCAAGTCAGATATATTTATGAAAGATGAATTACTTATTATGGCAAGTGAACAGACAGAAGATCTTAATCAAAATTTCTTACTACACAGCATAAAAGCTAAACCCTCTATAACATAAAATGGCAGAGGGCACTTTATTAAAGCAATAACCTTAAAGCAAGAATATATTAAAGTTAGCAAAAGAAACACTGAGTAGAGGTTTTGATCTATCTCACCACACTGTTTCATGGAATACATCCTGATTTATGCTATTTTCTTCATAATAAACTCTTAATCTGTGTTTAAAAAAACCAAACCAACACTACAATTTTTCCTGAAATATGCACTTCAACTAAGTTGTTCATCTCAGGGAGATCTGTCCTGAAGTCCTTAAAAGTGTTATTTATAACTTTTAGTTATTCATAAGCTTTTAGTTTAGCTTGTGTGATATTTAAGATCACCTAGATCTTTAGCTAGCTTTTATATTGAGTGGTTCACTCAAGAGAGGGAAGGACAGAATGACCAAATTTGTCTCAGATGTAAAGTCATGCTGTTTAACATTATTAATAAACAGAACTGAGAAATGTGTTCAACAAAGAGCTTTTTTCTGCAGGATTTCTCTTTTTTGCTAGAGTCTGATCTTGTATTCAGGGCTTTTTCCATTTGTTTAAAGGTGCACTTTATGATAGATTTCAACTTCAAATGCTCTGAGTTAACTCACAGCTCTTAATATTTGAGGAAGAGATCTTTCATGTTTTCTCCCTTTTGAAACTTTTGCTGGTACCAGTGTGTGTCAGAATTATCTTCACCATTTCCATGCTGGGATTTGAAATGCAGCCCATGAATTTTTTCTGTTTGACATACATCTGCATCCCATGACGACCCTGTGATGCTGTTCCTTGCTGACACATCTCATTATTTTGAATTCCATCAGATTCAGTTCCTCTCTTAATTTCTCTGCACTGAAAATTGCTTCACTGCAGTTTTATTCTGTGGATATGTCATGCCACCAAGGAGGGTCAAGGAATACTGGGGAGATGCTTTGTTCCAGGGCAAATGAGCTACGTAAGGAATTCAGATTTCTCTTTCATTGTGCCAATCACTGCTTTTTGTACCATCTTTCTAAACAACATGGCATGTGGCAAAAATATGTCTCAATGATAGTTTGGAACATACTATCTACCCAGCTTTCCTTCAAGGAAACTCAAAAAATTTCATCCTCCAGTTTCCAAGACAGTGACTATCAATCAAAGTCACTGCCTCTTGATTATCTGTATAGAGGAATTTTTGATTATTATTAAATGCTTGCCAAGCATGGACAGAGGGGGAAAAATGAGTAGAGTTCTGCTGTAGACACTGAACTATAATCAGAGGACCCTTGAGAAAAGTAAATGAAATAAAATAAAATTAGTTATTTAAAAAAGCAGAGGTGGGAAGGAGGACTTGAGAGGAGAACAGGGGTCTCCTGTACTTTATGGTCCTGTGTGCAAGCTCCTTTCCACCTTGTGTGGAATATCTGTGCCTGTAATTACAGTGTTGGTGTGTTGGGAAGGAGAACTACTAAAAAATGTATTTTAGATTACTTTATTTTGGATCCTTATGGTTACAAATGAACACAGGTCTCAGACTCTGCTTTTCATTAGTGTTTTTTGCCCTCTTGTCTTTTCAGGTTGAAGCACCTCAGGTTGCCTAAGTAGGACCAGATTGAGGCAAAAGCTGGGTTTCAACCATAATATAATTTTTTTTTTGTTTTGTGGTTTTCTTTTGCTTTGAGTTTTTTTTTTTTTTTTTTTCTCTCTCTCAGCCCCTTTATTTATTTAGTAAGAAATTACGGAAGAATTTGGAAATGTGGACAACAGGTTAAGTTTTTATTTAAGGTTTTTACATCAAAAATACCTTTGCTACATGTTTTATCCCTTGAATTAGGTCCTGCAACACATCCCTACTCTGTAACAGAGTTGGATTTTAAACTCCTGTTTGAGAGAAGTTGATTTCCATCATCTACCTCCTTTGCTGCCGTGAGGAAAACTTATGGGATGCACAGATATAGATTCCAGGGATGTGTGGCAATTCAGCCACAGTTGTGTTTGCAAGTTTTAGGATTTTTTCCTTCTTGTTTTCTGGGTAACTTTTGCATGTCTAAACATTTAACTCAAATTGGATGGTTAGGTGCTCAAAAGAATTGAGAAAAAACAAATGGTAAATGAAATTATAGGAAAACCAGGAAAAATGGAAAACAAGAGTGTATTATTTCCCCATTCAGAGAGTGCTGCTGGAATGCTGCAATTCACTAAGTTATATTTCTTGTTGAGAAAGAGATATTAAATGTAATTGAAAAATAACTGAGAAGCATTTGAGACTTTGCTCTTTTGCAGTTTGGAGCGAAATCAGATTTTGAGTCGTAAAAGAAGAGCATAAGAATAATTCACTGATTTGAGAGGGTGATAAAAGATCTTTTGCTTTCTTTTTTCTAGGATAAATTGCACTCAAATGTACAGGAATGTCCTTTTCTAGTTTGAGAGTAAATGGATTTGTATAATAAACATTTCTGTAACATTCAGCTACTTGAGCCCAGACAGCTCAATTAGGGCTGTGCAGTAAAATACAGCTTCTGTGCACTTTGTGAGCACTTAATGTGACTGAAAGCCTGTTAGCAAATAAATCTCATACAAAATAGGTCCTGTCAAGTGTTTAAGGAAATTGAATTGCCATATTGTTAACTCATAGATCTGTAAAGCAAGAGGTTTCTGATGTTTAGTAATTTAATTATTTTGCCAAATTTTACCTCTCCCATTAGAGCCTCCTTTATTCATTATTTTTAATATATTGAAAGCTGTGCAAAAGGGGATGGAAGTTACTCACACAAGCTGACAAATATAGAAAATATAAAATTAGGCTTGACAAAATTTTTTTCTTTTCATAGTCATCCATAAAACCCAGTCTCTCAGGTAAGTGATGGGCTAATGCTTTTTCAGCCAAGGGTTT